GATCAATTTGACTCTAAAGTCAAATAACTAAAATCTAATGAAAAAAAATAAATCTAACTTTAACAAGTAATAAATAGACATAAATATCAAAATCCCTCAAATAAAATATTTTTCAAATAAATAATGAAAATAAGTTTTTTGATTTTGCATAAGAAATTCTTATTTTTCCGAAAGATCTTTCAAATAAAAGTCTCAATACTTTTAACAATTCTGTAATTAGAATATCATTTTCTAGATTTAAACGTAAAAAAATTTGTTCGTTTTCATTTGACAATATAGTTTTTTTTTTTTTTAAAAAAAAAACAATTATTATCGGCCCCTACAAATCATTGAGTAATCGAAGTTATTTTATTTGGTTCTTGTATCTTGCATTACTAGGTGTTCTGGTGCATGTATAGATACGATGCTAGGGTATGCTAACAGCATACGTACTGTTGATGGTGGCACACATATTGATGGTGTTAAGGTTGCACTGACAAGAAGTCTCAATAATCTTCGGAAAAAATAAAAAATGTTCAAGGTGTGTTTTTCTTCTTGTGTTCTTCAATTTTTGTAAGTTGTCTTTTATTGTCAGCATAGTTGAAGGATTTGAATAACTACAATGAAAAATGTAAAACTTTGTCCTTGATTGCATGTAAACTTCCAAGTCCCAACCTTTTGAGTTCCAAAAATTATGATTGGGAAGAGATTAAGTGCTCCCAGGAGAATGAGTTATGATATTGCAAGTCCCAACATATGAATGCATTGCAAGAAGAAAATTTCATTAGTCTCTGTCTAGTGCATACAAACATTAATTGTAACATGAATAGGACGAGGATAAAAGCTATTGTCATTTTCATTATGTTAATGGTTCTTTTCCAGGATAAGGATACAAGATTAAGTGGTAAACACCTTAGGGAGGGATTGACATGTGTTATCTCAGTCAAAGTTCCAAATCCAGAGTTTGAAGGGCAAACAAAGGTACTTTCTATTCACAACATTTTATTGGGTACTCATGTGTTTTGGTTGTCACAACGCTTTGGCTGATTTGATACTGCTATTGGATATTACTCCATTCATTGATGATGCCTAACTTGACGAATTTCTTCTACCACTGAAGACAAGGTTGGGAAATCCTGAGGTGCAAAAAGTGGTTTTTCAATCTTTCAAGGAGTATCTTACTGAATTTTTGAAGTTCCGTCCAGATGTACTTGATTCAATCATTTCTAAGTGCTCACAAGGTGTCCCTTAGTAATTCAAATATCCTTGTTTCAATAAACATTTCAATGCATCAAGTCTCATGATCAAGGACTCACGAGTCCACCTACAACAAGCTGTTAAACTTGAAAATCGAGCTCGTTATAATCTTAGATCAAGCTCGTTATGCTCTCAGATCGAGCTCGTTATGATCTCAGATTAAGCTCGTTGTGCTCTCTAATCGAGCTCTTCATGGTCAGATTCAGCTATTTATTCTCTCAAATCGAGCTCCTTATGATCTCAGATCGAGCTCCTTATGCCCTCTGATCAAGCTCCTTATGATCTCAGATCGAGCTCATTATGGTCTCTGATCAAGCTCCTTATGATCTCAGATTGAGCTTGTTATGCTCTCTGATCGAGCTCCTTATAATCTTAGATTGAGCTCGTTATGCTCTCAAATCGAGCTCGTTATGCTGCTCATTTAAAGAATGTGTATGTCATAATGAAAACCCCAAGATCAATTTGACTCTAAAGTCAAATAACTAAAATCTAATGAAAAAAATAAATCTAACTTCAACAAGTAATAACTAGACATAAATATCAAAATCCCTCAAATAAAATATTTCTTCAAATAAATAATGAAAATAAGTTTTTTGATTTTGCATAAGAAATTCTTATTTTTCCGAAAGATCTTTCAAATATAAGTCTCAATACTTTTAACAGTTCTGTAATTAGATTATCATTTTCTAGATTTTAACGTACAAAATTTTGTTCGTTTTCATTTGACAATATAGCTTTTTATTTTTTTATTTAAAAAAAAAACAATTATTATCGGTCCCTACAAATCAGTGAGTAATCGAAATTATTTTATTTGGTTCTTGTATCTTTCATTACTAGGTGTTCTGGTGCATCTGTAGATACGATTCTAGGGTATGCTAACAGCATACGTACTGTTGATGGTGGCACACATATTGATGGTGTTAAGGCTACATTGACAAGAAGTCTCAATAATCTTCGGAAAAAATAAAAAATGTTCAAGGTGTGTTTTTCTTCTTGTGTTCTTCAATTTGTATAAGTTGTCTTTTAGTGTAAGTACGGCTGAAGGATTTGAATAACTACAATGAAAAATGTAAAACTTTGTCCTTGATTGCGTGTAAACTTCCAAGTCCCAACTTTTTGAGTACCAAAAATTAGGATTGGGAATAGATTAAGTTCTGCCAGGAGAATGAGTTATGATATTGCAAGTCCCAACATATGAATGCATTGCAAGAAGAAAATTTCATTAGTCTCTGTCCGATGCAAACAAACATTAATTGTGACATGAATAGGACGAGGATAAAAGCTATTGTCATTTTCATTCTGTTAATGGTTCTTTTCCAGGATAAGGATACGAGATTAAGTGGTAAACACCTTAGGGAGGGATTGACATGTGTTATCTCAGTCAAAGTTCCAAATCCAGAGTTTGAAGGGCAAACAAAGGTACTTTCTATTCACAACATTTTATTGGGTACTCGTGTTTGGTTGTCACAATGCTTTGGCTGATTTGATACTACTATTGGAAATTACTCCTTTCATTGATGATGCCTAACTTGACGACCTTCTTCTATCACTGAAGACAAGGTTGGGAAATCCTGAGGTGCAGAAAGTGGTTTTTCAATCCGTCAAGGAGTATCTTACTGAATTTTTGAAGTTCCATCTAGATGCATGTACTTGATTCAATCCTTTCTAAGTGCTCACAAGGCGTCCCTTTCTAATTCAAATATCCTTATTTCAATAAACATTTCAATGCATCAAGTCTCATGATCAAGGACTCACGAGTCCAATTGCAACAAGCTGTTAAACTTGAAAGCTTTCCTCATTTTTTATCTCCGTAATTTAGGCAGATCTGGCAGCAAACAGGGCAAGGGACTTGGTGAGACAAAAGAGTGTATCGCAGTCATCATGGCTTTCAGAAAAATTGGCTTATTGCTTATCTACAAATCCCAAAGAATCTGGTTTGTATCACGTTCACTTTTACATTCATGAGGGACATTATTTGCAATTTAGAGTTGTGAAGTTATAGGTAATTAGATACTTACAATCTTCAGTTAGTGATTCTACTTATGTTGTTTACTCTGTATAACTGGTGTTTGATCAAAAGTTCATTATATTAATTGATAATATCAAGATAAACAACTTGCTTAATTAGAAAAACTGTTTTAACTTAAGCAAATTTTGTAGCTCGCCTGTGTACTCTTATTACATTTTCTATATTCTCATAGTTCCAACTCAGAATTTGTTTGCTGATCCTCATTTTTTCTTAGAGATATGTTTTCTTTTTTTCCATATCATGCGTAGCTGATGCTGGAAAACCTCAATGTGAAGAATCTAGAATCTATCCATATATGAAACATATATTTTATTACTTGTTTTCAGTTGGACTTTGTTCTTAGCAGAAGTTTCTATTTCTTATTTCGTTTAGGACTAGCCACTATATAATTAGGGCCCTGGTTTATAGTTTTTTGTAGACTTGATGATTATTGAATAATGAAAACTGTCTCCCAAATTTATCTATTTCTTCCTCTTGTTCGGCTTCGCTGCTATTCTCCTTTTTCTTATTCTCTAGTTTATCTCCCCTTCCTTTCTCCTTAAATCTATCAATTCTTTATCTGCCTTATTTTTATCCTTCCTAAATCAACTATAGGAAAACGGAATCTAACTAAAACAATTAATAAAATATATGAATTCCAAAACTAAAACATTTACTACATGTGTAGATTCTAGATTCTTGATCACCCTATAGGCTTTAGGTACCTGCACTATAAATGGAGGTTAGGGTTAATAATTCACATAGGTGGATTTTGGTTACAGTTAAGGTAGGTTTTGGGACTCCCTTGGGAAAGAGTTCATACTCTTGCTTCATTGTATGTATCAACTACAAAGCAATTTGAGGGGGCTACTTTTTTCTTTACTCAAAGGGATTGGACAACTTTCTGGCTTCAGTTTTATGAATTTCTTAGCCTTATTTGAGGAAGTTCTTCTAGTGTTAATGCTGTAGTTTTGATTTTTTTTTTTGTCTTCTTGTTTGGGTTTCTGGTTCACATCTTTGTATTCTAATTTTATTTTATAATAATATTTTTTATGTCTTATTGAAGAAAAGAAAAAAGAACAGGGAAACAAAGTTATAACACTTGTTTAGGGTGACTAATTATCCTTACCTTCTAGAAGTAAATCACAAACTACATGAAATTAGCTCAGAATCCCCCTTCCTAATAGTGATGAATAAGGGAAATGGAAGAATCTTGAAACTCCTCAGCAGCTGAAGCCTAATAGAAGCAAAAAGGCAAACTCTATCCGTTAACTTGCTACTATTTTCTTGTCTTTTTCACCAATTATTTGATTTTTTCTTTCTTGTCAAGTCACTAAATGAAGAGGTAAGCAGCAAATCTTCAAATGGTTTGACTTTCTTACCTCTTCAAAAGGCAACTACATTTTCCATAATTTTGAGGCCTCTAAACAAGTCAGGGTATTAAACAATGAAGAAATGATCAGAGGTTGGCCAACGAATCACAAAAACCTAGGATGACCCTAAATTCAAAACAAGCATCAACCATGAAACCATAAATTCATATAGATTTGCTTTCCAAATTTTAATCTTCTGTATCTAATCTCCTTTCCAATAAAAACAATATAGACCTTTCCACAATTTAACCTTCTATATTTGGTTTCCAAGACACAAGAGAAGAGATGAGTAATCAGAACCCAAAAACAGGGTGGAGTGTGAAGTTCGGAGTAGCTTTTGACAGGTTGCAAATTCCACCCCTGCCCTACAGTTCATCAGAAAATACACAAAACGCCAACTCTAGGACAGATGCAATGATCTGTCATTGGAAGTTACAGCTAAAATAAAATAAAGACAGCTGACAGTCTAACATATTTTTAGTAACAAAGATGGACACAACTCTGTTTGACTTAATTAGAGTTTTTCAAATGAACTAATACATGTACCTGAGGAATATGAGAGATGGATATATAACTTGTTATACCATCATATAATTTTCACCCTCGAGGAATATGAGAGATACATTTATAACTTGTCATATCATTATACAGTTTCCACCCTCTTTCCAATCCATGGCATAAAACCTAATACTAATATTCTACCAAAATCAAAATTTCACAGGAAAAGGAGAAGGGGAAACCTTTGAGAGGCATATCAAGTTTTGGAGCAATTGGGGGCTTATGTGCTGAAATCCATTTTTTCAAAGATCTGCACAAGGATATCATAAACCAGTTAAACAGCCAATTGCATAAACCTGTCTGAAAAAAACCAAGTTGAATACCAGGATACCCACGCCAAAAAAGGAGCCACCATGTAAAGCTTCAGACCAGTGATCCCATGGGATATCACATCTTCAGTAGCTGGCTGAAGATCATCAAGCCGATGCCATGCAATTTCCTCCAAGTAACAGTAGGCATGCTTGTGAAGAAAGACTTAAAGATGAAAGAAAACGGACTACATATTTTTCTCAAGTCCTCAAGGAAGCCACTCAAAGAAAAGAAAAAAAAAATTATATGAAGATTGAAAATATCAAATATAAATTAATTGACAAAAATATAGCATACACTGATCCCCTTTTTCGTTTGAGGGGCAAAGAAAGTATTATCTCTGACACCAGCAATTATGTAGAGCCGCACCCTCTGCTGTCCAAATATCAGTTCAATGGACACATCTTTGTTAAGAAGCATTGAAACATCAAAACCTGTTTCCTCCAGGACCTGCATATGCCGCAGTAAGTAGGTCAAACAATATTCAGAGTACAGTAAGAGAGACCACAGGTTAAATCAATACTGGCCCCCATCCTCCTGAATACCTTAAAAACAGGTATCCATGCTATCGAAAAAAAGCTTGGAACAGAAACCAGCAGAATCATGTCTATTTCCCCAAGTTAGAAAACAAGCGATGGATCAGTTAATTTCTATATTTATGAATTTCTAGCATTGAGATTATGTCCATCAACCAGCATAAATTAAGAGAACTTCTTTCTATTATTAGCGGCTAGGCCATGGGACCATATTTTGACTTCATAATCGACATCCAAAGAACTTTCTTTAATCTTCTGAGAATATTAGTTCAATTTATAAATAAAAAAATAAATAAAAAGCAATCAACAAGGTGATCTAGAAAAACTTTTCTCTACAATACCGTGATTGGAGTTTGCACTATTAACGAAGGTGCCAATCTACAGTATTACATAAGACTCAGCTGAACATAATTACTAGGTTTATTATCTACAGAAAGAAATATCAATCACCAATTTGAATGAAGAAATCAGTTTCCATTATGTACATATTCAAAATATATCTAAACCTTATGACTGACTTCTGAGAACGAAGTGTTTATTGACTCAAGTATAAAGAAACTGGCTTTTAAATTTCAATGAGGATGCTAGAATAAATAAATCAGACAGAAGAGAGCACAATCAAAGACTGCCACAAGAGACAAGCTTACTTCTCGGACAGCACATGTATGATCTTCCTCATCTTTGTTTTTTTATCCACGTGGAAAACTCCAGCTTGACCCTTTCCATCCCTTCACTAGTATGCATTGTCAAGTGTAGCAGATAAAATATCAGGTAAAAATATAAATGGAACTTCAGTTTTAACTTGAAAATGTTTATAGCCAAGTATTACACAGTTGAAATTTTAAAAACCTAAATCATAGGAAAGTCCATCATTTTAGGATCAAACAAATGGAAAATACTCGCAGAAAAAAGCAACATGCGAGGTACTGTTTCGCTGATAAATCAATTCCTATTCAAAAGCTACACTAAAAGAAAAGAACAACAGAGGTTCTGGAACAGGTAAGGAGAAAGTCTGTAACCGACAATCCAATTTTTTGTCAGAAGCTACAGTAAAAGAAGAGGTGTCAATAAAAAACAATGCAAAAATTTTCTGACATAGATGTGAATTAAACATCACCATACTACCACTTTCTTCTTAGTATTTCAAAGAATATCCCTAATCTTTTGACATTCATGTCATTGTCAGGTACAGCATCATGCCTCCTGACTTCCGGTAAATGAACATGCTTGTAGAAAGGCGAACATTATTCATATTCAAAATCAAACATTTTTGTGCTTAAAAACCACAGTACAGCAAGAACATAAAGTATAAAATTCAAAAAATCAGATTGGTCGAATATCAAAGATCACTTAACATTTAGGAGTCTTCTAACAAAAGGTGATAAAAAAACTAGTTTATTGACATGAAGCCTCACCCATTCATAGGTTTCATCCAAAATGATTGCCCCCGTTACTGGAACTCGAACCTTGTAAGAAGTGAAATCCTTGAATATGTCGTCTATGTGAGCAACATAAGGTCTTAATACATCACAACTGTTAAAAACTGAGATATATTAAAAAAACAAAGGGTAAGATAATAAAGATATAATAACATGCAGAAAACAGAAAGAAGCACAAGAAGAAGATCAAAAACTCAAGATATATATTACACAATCTAAATCTGGCTGCATAGCACCCTGAATTCACATGCAGTGAAATCGTTCCTTAATTAGCCAAAATGATTTTTTCCTCTTTGAATTAACAAAATTACATACAGCAAAACCATCTTAAGTGGCTTTAACTTGTCCTTATTTGTGCCATTTTCAAATCTATTCATTTTCAGACATGCAATTTCTTGACCTAGAAATACTTTGTCTTATCCACATGAAAACCAAACAATCTATCATCAGTGGTAAAAGTTCCTCTTAATTTTATTTGAAAAAGCATAAAAAGATATTTCAAGAAACTGAAAGCAAAATTCAGATCGACCCACTTGCTCAACTCTATAGTCCATGTTTCTTGGGTGTTCTCCTTTCAAACAGTCAATTCAAGCTTACTAGAAAACTATGTCTGTAACACCTGACAAGTATTCATGATTGTAATATTGCCAAACCTTCAATATATACGACACAGTCTGGCCCTACACTTCCAAACTTATGCAACACATACAAGAAAGCAAAAAAAGAGAAAAGCATCATAAAAAGCAATCAATAACATTTGAATGAAGAGGTCATGGAGGTACATTACGTGATGATATCTGATGCCTAAACAATTTGCTTTTATCTCTAGCTTATTATGAGCTAACACAACGGTGAAAGCAGGTTGAAGATAATCGTGGAAAATATATGGTATTAATGTGACAAATGAACACAAAATTATTAAAAATAAAGTCAAAAACAAAAACAGATGGTAAAGGATACGTAAAGAAGTGAACTCCTTCAAAGTGAATGATTTCAGTGATGGATTATTTTCCACTGAATTATCCTCGTAGAACCAATGTGCGTACTCCACAAGAAACAAAATCCTCTCAAATGATTGTTGATCTTCCTTTGGCACATTTAACACAAACCGACTGTAGCAAAATCATTTGACCAAAAAGAATAGACATGAATAAAAAAATAAGGGAAAATGAAAAGAAAAAGAAAAGAAGGCGAAAGATAAACAATCTGCTATATATGCAATAATATTAGTGCATTGCAACAACAAAAAGAAGATACCGTGCTAATGCTTATAAAGCAAAGACTATATGACAATCGTCTTGCTTACTTATGAGAAGAGGTTCAAAAAATTCACTGACATAGCACACCCAACAAATCCCCAACCTGTTGTTGTATTTTAAAGATTCTCAACTCTCCATTTTACCATACAGCACCCATAGAAAGAACTCAACAGTTTTGAAGATGATAATCCTAAACGTAGATTTAAATATTACTAATTCAATCCTCTGTCATTAGACAAGCTTTAACAACTAAGTTCCTTGCTTGTTTCACGATTTAGCACGCCAATTTAGCTTTAACAGCTTATAATAAAATTTGTCGTTATCAACACTATTCTAACGAATTGATCGATTAAACAGCGCTATTCTATACATTCCAAAGCAGACAAACGAGAATAAATCAACATTAAACATTTTCGAAATAAAATTCTGAGCAACGAAGCAGTTGATAGAGAGCTGGGCATAAGAATCAAAGCGTGAACGAAGAACAATAAATACCTGCAGAGATCGTCTAGAGGTTCTTGAGGAGGAAGGCCGCCGCTTTTATACGGCGCGCTTGAGGATCGATGGAGACTTGACATCGCCTACACGAAGAAAAACCTAAAAAATAGAAAATAAACCCTAAGTTTTTTTTGTGTTTCTGTTTCCTGTGTTTTTGTTTTGTACTTTGAAATATTGGAGAGTGAAAATGGACAGTGAAGGCGCTCTCTCTCCGGTTTTGGGAGCTGCAGTGAGAGCAGAGGAATCAACGATGTTTATAACTTCTAGAGCCTCTCTTAGTTATTTTCTTTCTTCAGCTAACGTGAGCCGCTAACCCACACTAACGGGAGCCACGCATTTTAAAAAGAGAAATACTAAGTATACATCATTTTCATATAAAATTTCTTATACAATATTATGTGGCAAGATATGATTGACTAATTTAAAGTTAAAATTAAACTTTTACCTAATCATATCTTGTCATATAATGTTGTATGAGAAATGTCATATGAGAATGATGTATGTGTAGTATTATTCTTTAAAAAATAAGGCAAACTAAAATTTAGGCGAACAAAAATTCACTCCCCAATTTTACAAACCCTATTCCTTACCGCATCACCACCGTGAGCTGCGCATTTGAAAAACAAGCCCTATTCCTTGGGGGATTTTATTAAAAGACCATTTAGAATTAAAATTTAATTAAAAGGCCATACAGTTTGTAAAATTTAACTAAATAGCCATGTTTTTTTATTAAGCTTAATTAAACTTGATTAGGGGTTAATTATGAATAATTGTGTAATCTTTTAAAAATTAAATATGTCCCCAAAAAGTCGAAATTCTAGCAAACAAACCCAAATACCTTTTTCTTCCTCCCGCGACATTAACGCATTCCTCCGCCATTAACATCTTCTCCAACACAGATCATCGTCGTCGTCCTCCTCCTCCTCTTCCTCCTCCTCGTGACATTTCGTCCAGGTATGTGTATCTCCCCTTTTGATTTTATATTTTGATTTACAAAGATTTAATGATGGATTGGGTTTGGGTTATGATTTTGATTTAGTTGTTTAGGTTGTGTTTGATGTAATGGAAGTTGAAAGGAGTGAAATTTGTTGAAAAATGTCTTGCATTGTGGGTAGCTGGGGGTGGTAGCACCGATTGTAGGCGGAGAGACTGAAAATATGTTCTAGATATGATGGATCGCTTAAGTGATCTAGTGTGTCGCTTAAGCGATCTGGTACGCTGGTAATACAGTAGATAGATCGCTTAAGTGATCAGGTATGTGGCATAAGATCACTTAAGCGATCTGCTAAAAGTCTGGTGTATAGCAGCAGATCGTTTAAGCGATCATTAAATGGCATAAGATCGCTTAAGCGATCATGCTTATTTATACTAGATCGCTTAAGCGATCCAGTAAAAGATATACTAGACGCTTAAACGATACACCAGATCTATCAAGTGACTATGTAGATGTTTTTTAAAATATTTCAACTCTTAGTACATCAGTTAAGAATAGTTTTTTTCTTGCATTATAGGTAATTGGCTATTATGAGACATTTGACAAGTTGTTTTGGGTGTTGAATATTTTGGTGAGTGGGTGGAGGAAGAAAGTAGCTGGAAGTGGATTAGGAAGAGCAAAGAAGTTATACCAATTGCTGTGAGCACAGAGATTAGTTTTGATGAGTTGACTGATGAAATAATTAGAAGAGGTGAATTGAGTTGCTCATGTAGTGATATAGTTGTGAAGTATGTTTTAAGCAGAGTTCCTCAACATTATAAGATACCTCCTACTATAATAAAGTCGGATGAAAGTGTGAAGTTATATATGATTTATGTGGTCAATAATGGTTCGAGGCCGATTTTAAGGGTTTCTTTTGTAGAAAAACCGTTGGAAGTTGGTTCAAAGGAAGGGGATAACGAGGAAGTTGGTGGAGATTTGCCTGGTTTTAATTTGAACTAAGAGGGCGGCAATGATTTGTTAGTTGAAAAATCAAGAGTCAACGGTAAATTGGGTGGTGAGGAGGACACTATAGAAGAGGTTGGTCATGGGTGGCAAAATGAAAATGTTGAGGACGAGGACCCCGTACATGTTCCCGCAGATGTAGAGATTCCTTTAAATATATATTATGCAGAAGGTGTAGTTTGTGAGGACATTGGCCGTTTATGTAGGTTCAGAGGGGGCAATTGCAGGTAGTAGTGAATCAGTTCATGTTTTTACGGATGGATCGGAGTTGCGCATAGGGTATTTATTTGACAACAAAGATGAAGTGGTGAGGAAGCTAAAACTTATCGCCGTGAGAGGTAATTTTGAGTTCATCACCAAAAAGTCAAATTCATTGGCTATGACGGTTGCATGTCGTGACCGAAAGTGCAAGTAGCAGGTTTATTATAGAAGGTTGGCCGAGTCGGAAAAATTTATTCTTAGCACATATACCCGTGAGCACACATGTGGTTTGGGACATATTTCAGGTGAGCATCGACAAGCCTCCGCTGATGCTATTGGATAATTTGTCAAAAGTTAGTTCGTTGAAGGGAAATGTCCATCTGCTAAAGACATTCAGAGACTTGTGCGCACAAAGTTGGGATGTACTGTTAGTTACTGGAAATGCTGGAAAGGGAGACAACATGCACAAGATTTTGTAAGGGGCACAAAAGAGCACAGGTACAAAGTATTAAAAACATACCGTTATATGCTTGAGTTGACAAACCAAGGTAGCAAGACGGCTTTGAAGTGGGACAAGAATATGATGTTTAAATATTTTTTTGTTGCTTACGGTTCTGCTATAAGGGGGTTTTGTAAACATGAGAAAGGTTTTGGCTATTGATGGTTGCTTTTTGACAGGAAAGTATGGAGGTACATTGTTGGTGGCCACTGCATAAGACAGCAAGAATCACACATATCATGTTGCATGGTCTGTGGTTGACTCTGAGAATGACAAGTCATGGACTTGGTTTTTTCAACAATTACATACGATAGTGCCTGACAGTGACGAGTTGTGCATAATATCCGATAGGCACAACTCTATAAAGAAGGGGATTGCCACTATTTACCCTCAAGCACATCACGAATTCTGTATGAGACACCTTGGTGAGAACATAAAACAAAAGTTTAAGTATGATGACCTCCTTCAGACATACTACATGGCAACAAAAGCTTATCGGGTTAATGAGTTCGAGGAGCACTTCCAGCAAATCCGAATCAAGATGATAGAGTTGCTAAGTATCTTGAGCATGATGTTGGTTTTGAGCAATGGAGTAGAGCTTACCTTCTTGGAAGAAGGTTTGATGTCATGACCACGAACATAGCCGAGTCCATAAATTTAGAGGACATCGTCACGGTGGTTCCATGAGCATCGTACGAAGTCAGATAATTTTCATACAACCCTTGTTCCGTCAACTGAAAAAATATTGCGAGAACGTATGGAACTGTCAAATGCATTGTTTGCCTATCCTCTTAATGCTCAAGAGTTCATTGTGTGCGGCTATGGTCCGGATGCCCTAGTTAACCTTGTTAGTAAAACTTGCAGCTATAAAGTATTTGACATTCAACGTTTACCTTGTCCTCATGCACTAGCAGCACTGAAACACCAACGGAAGTCGGATTTTGGTTCAAGAATTTACATGGAACTTTGCTCCCCTCTCTATATGTCAAATCACTACATGCTAGCTTATTCAGAAACGATATATCTAGTGCCTCCAGAAGAGCAGTGGGTAGTGCCGCCAGAGTTGGTTGACATTATCATCCATCCTCCATTCAAGAAGATAGCAAAGGGGAGAAAAAGAGTTAAGCGTATTCCATTAGCCTGTGAGGTTCCTCGGAAGATGAATAAGTGCTCAATTTGCAAGCAACCTGGTCACAAGAGAAGCAGTTGCCAAAAGTAATCACATGCAGATCCAGAAAATTAGGTTCAAAGAAAGACGAAATTCAGGGAGTTGCCAAGGCCAACCTTTGATGAGTTATTATTTTCAATTATTTATTTTTTTTATTTTTATTGTTACCTTGAATAAATCATTCTTTATATTTAGTATTCTTGTTACATTGCCTAAATATTTGTTGGTGATTTTAGTTTGGAATTAGGTTGTCAAATTGAGGAGAAAGTATAGAATTAATATGTGTTGGTAATTTTAGTTTGTCAAAATTTAGGAGAACAGATGGAAAAGTATGTATTGCCTGTGATCGCTTAAGCGACGAAGGGTTTTTCGTAAAGGATCGCTTAATCGACCAAGTGAAAAATAGAAGAATCGCTTAAGCGATATCACGGATCGCTTAGGCGATCATGTACCTGGGCAGATATTGATTCTGCCCATCACATGATTGCTTAAGCGATCTAAAATCGCTTAAGCGACCAAGTGAAAAAGAGAAGAATCGCGATATCACGGTTCGCTTAGGCGATCATGCACCTGGGCAGATATTGATTCTGCCTCGGAGTTGATTGCTTAAGCGACCCTGTGTATTTAGAATTTTGAATGATTACTGAACAGATTGTTTGTTCAAATGGTTTTGCACAGTTACAACTCCGTACATAAAATTAAATTATCTACACTTATTATATTACTGTTGTTAGTCCTTTTTTATTTAATATTTATTATTATTAAGTTAAGTATTCTTTATTGAACAAATCGTACGGAGCTGTAACTGTGAAAAACTATCTGCACAAACAATCTGTTGATTAGTCATTCAAACTTCATTTACTCCTTAAAATAACAACTCTTTTAAAATCAGGCTGAGAAGAATCTCAAAAGAGTGTAATATTTAAGAAGGTTACAGCAGTTATGCTAGAAAACTTATTGTGATAAGAGGAGCGAGTCATTGTTTATAGTGAAAAGGTTTCTGAAAAATTATGGCACCCTCTAGGTCTACAAATTGGAGAGCATATGATTACAGAGTTCAATTTTATATTATTATTGTATCTTTTATATATATTATTTTCTTGCCAAGAACTAACAAAAATAATAGATCTTTCAGTGTTAAGCGAGACATTATACATAAGCCATGATTTCCTTAAGTGATATCTTGCATCGCTTAAGCGATCATGCCTAATTTCCTTTGTACTGTACAATAATATACTATTTTTTCCCAAAATGATTGTTTGTTTAATTATTTAGGAAATATTAGTATATTTTTAAATTACTTTTAGTCCCTTAAGTTAATTAATTTCATAAATACCCCCAAAAAAAAGTTTAAAAATGAACAAAAACACCCCTACCTACCCACGATACCAGATTCCGACAACCACCGTCGGAATCTGACCGGAATAGGCCGTTATGACGT